AGGATTTCAGCTATCTCAGGAGTTGCAAATCCAAATGCCATGACTTTGGGGTGTTGGCTGGCAGGGGTGGGAGGGGGAGCAGTCAGGGGAAAGATATGAGACAGGCTATAAGTAAGCATCCAGGAACGGGGCCCTCCTAAAGGCAGACAAATGTAATTTAAAAAAACAAATAAACTCACAAACAAATGCTGTAGGCCAATTTACTCCTAGGCTAGGAGAGTTCCAGGTTTAACTAAAATCCCGGGTGTGGCCCTGGCTGGTGGGCGGGGCCGGGGGCGGGGCCTCTCAACAGCACACAGGCTTTCTTTCACCAAGTCCAGGGAGAGAATGGAATTCGGGAGCTACTTTTAAGACACAGAGGAAACTGCAGCCATGAGTCACCCTTCTATCCTGATCCTGTTAGGTCCTGTCCAACGTTTCTTTGAAGCCAACTCTCCTGTGCAACACTATCACCCTGTGCTGAGAAGAACCAAAAAGCTCTTTCATCCAGGGGCAGGATAACCAGCACAGGGGTGCAGTTCCCACATTACTACTCACTCAAGGGGAAACTGACCCAGACCCCACAGAGCAGAAAATAACGTGTCAAGTAAAACATGTTTCCTACAGAGTTCACGTAAGATTAGAAACCAAACAGTGCCTTCTCAAATAAATGAGAGAACAAGACAAGGCTGCTATCAAAATAAACATCTTAGTGGCCTCTTTTCCCAGTATGAGGAATTAATTCTTCAAAATTTACATTTAAAATTAACATACAATACACACACACACACACAAAACAGTCTTCCTCATTGTGGAAGATGCATTTGGGTTCTGAAAAAATTAAAATGTGAAGACTGAGCCACCTCAGATACTACCTACTGCCCATGCCCATGAATCAGAGCAGCCCAGGGACCCAAGATGCTGTGGGTTAGGAACAGGTAAGGCTCCTCCCACCTTGGCTGGGCATACTGAGCTGGGGGAGGAAGGCCTGAGGGCCACATGGGTCACCTGCCTTCCCTTCTCCAAAGCAGGCTTGGTTTTAGAGGCCCCTCTTCCACAGAAAACAAGAAGTCCTTTCTCCTCCCTCCCAAAATGCCTGTGGAGCTTCCCAGGGTGCCCAAAACTCAGTGTCATCTGCCTCCAAACGCAGACGTCACATCTTGATTTAGTGGTGCAGGTCAGGAGGTCTAAATCTCTCACCCATTTTTTGGCATTCTAAATTCTAAAATGAATTTTCAGTCCCCAGGCATCAAATATCTCAAGACTATACCAGCTTGAATGACATGGTTACAGACACGAATGACCCGCAATCAAATGGCCCCTCCACAGTTTGAGGTGGAAAATGCCCCAGGAGACAAAACTCACACCCTACTCAACCAGCACAGCAGCACCTGCCCTGAGCCACAGCTCGCAGGGGAAAGAGGTCACCCTCAGTGAGAAGAAGCAGGGCGAAGTTTGGCCCAGCAGCTCCTTGTAGTTAGTTCCCTCTTGTTCAAACTTAAACACGCGCGTTCTGAAACCAAGGCAAAAATCAAACATGAGTGAGAAGGCTGCTGCCCTCGTGTCCTTCACCCACATAACAAGAGCCCACGTGGCTCTGGGCAGAGCCCCGTCCATGCACATGAATGTTGGGTGGGAGGCAGCTGCACACGCCCGTCCTGGCTGCTGCAAGCATACATTTCTCCTCTTCCCATCACAACCTCAAACATTCCCACAGGCCAACAATGAGGGGGCGAGGACTGCCGCAGAAACCCAGTGTGCCTCCCATAAGGGGACCTTTCAACACCTACCCTCGAGCACTGCCTGAGGATGAGGGCAGACTCTATTCCACAGGCCAGGAAACAAGCTGACTTTGCGATCAGCCTGCCACCCCTCCTGCAAAGCCCGAAAGATGGAAAAGGATTGGTTTCGCCCACAGGGACCTCATTCCCTATGCAAGAAGTCTAGCCAAATCATTTTTAAATAAGTACATTCAGGGGACAGGCAAAGAAACATTTATAAGAGCCTCTATGAGGATCCCATTTATAAGAACCCTTCTCTCTCCACTCCCTCCCTCCCTCTGGTCTGACCCCAAATCACACCACACATACACCACGGCTGGCTTCACTGCCCTAAATATCTGTCTGCTTCTCTGATGACAGCCTTCTGCTCAGGAATCTATAATGGCCCCCTATTTACCATCAGACCATGGTCAAAGCACTGAAATTCCTGCAAGACTTGGTCTTTTACCTACTGGCGTCTACTCTTTGTCCTTCTACACATGCTTGTTCTTGTTCTTTTCCCTTCCTTCTACCAGTAAAGTCCAGTCACTAAGAACACATTCACCCTGGGTTCAGATCCCAACTCCACCTCTTAGACCTGCCTTGGGCAGGTATTTAAATGACCCGATGCCTTAGTTTCTTCACCTGGTGAGTTAGGCAGTGATGAATGAGATGATACAGGGAAAAGCTCAGAATAAAACCTGGCACATGGTATCACCGAATAAACATTAGCAATTATGATATTCACTATTATTGCACAAGTCACTTCTTCCAAAAAGGCTTCCCTAGCAACACCCGTCAACATCTGTTTCCTAAATGTTCTGCAAACAGTCAGAAATCATAGATACTGGCTGGAGTTTTTCTGGAATGTTTCAAAGGGCAGGTTACTTGGATGATAATCAAATGTTAAAATTATTATTATAAAATTCATGTTCTAAACTATGTACCTGTTGTTCCCAAATTATCTCTACCTCCAGTAACAATGTTTCTAGTGGATTCACCACTAAGAGGTACCATATATTTGCATGGTTTCAGATTTTGTTTCTTGGATCCAAAGCTTAATTCTACCGAGACTGAAAACTTCTTAAGAGCAAAGAACAGAGATCGTACCACAGACATCTGGTCCACACTGAGAGTTCCTACCACAGTACCACAGTGGGACCTCAAGCCAAACCTTGTTGAATTTAAAGAAAACATTAAGTTACCTGAAAAACAAAGTAGTCAGTGGGAGGTTAAGTGGGTCTTCAGAATAAGAAAATCTACCCTGTCAGCCCTGGCTGGGTGGCTCAGTTAGTTGCAGCATTGTCCCATACACCAAAAGGTTGTGGGTTCGAGTCCCAGTCAGGGCACATACCCAGGTTTCAGGTTCAATCCCCAGTCAGGGCATGTACGGTAGGCAACTGATCGATATCTCTTCTCTCTCTCTCTCTCTCTCAAATCAATAAACATATCCTCAGGTGAGGATTAAAAAAAAAATCTACCCTGTCAGTATTCCTCCTTGTAAACTTCTTGTCACAAACATACAAGACTAAACCATGGTAAGAGGAGACTTGATGGCAAACACCACCAAGATGGAGTGAAACCTGGCACAGACTATTAAGGCAGCCTCCGTTCCTGGTCTCCCTGCCTCCAAAGTTCCACAGCACTTCGTGCCTACTCTCATGTCGTACTTACTGATTTCCACCTTGCTTTATGCCTCAGAAGACTTCATAACTTGTCTTCTGAATTATCAGTTCCACTTCTCACAGGTTCAAGTGCCTCACTGCGGTGACTTACTGAGTAGAGATCCACCACGTAAAGTAATCAGAGAACATTAATCTCACAAGTTTGGACAATAAATAGTTCTGGTATATTCCAGACCATACAACCACAAGTATAAAAGAATTACCCAGTAGAAAGTTCCATAGTGCCTACTTTAACTAATGGAAAAGAATATATCAAGTGCGTTTAAGAAAATAATTATTTTGATGTACTTGAGTGTATTTAAAATTGTCTGTAGCCTTAGCCAATTTGGCTCAGTGGTTAGAGAGTCAGCCTGTGGACTGAAGGGTTGCAGGTTCGATTCCTGGTCAAGGGCATGTACCTGGGTTGCAGGTTCTATCCCCAGCCCTGGATTGGGGTCATGCAGGAGGCAACCAATCAATATGTCTCTCTCACATTGATGTTTCTCTCTCTCTCCCTCCCCCACTTCCACTCTACCTAAAAATTAATGGAAAAACAGCCTCGGGTGGGAAGAACGAACACTTCCACGGAGAGCTCCTGGGGACGCCTCTCCATTAGGGGAGGGGTTCCCAGAGCACAGAGCACTTAGCTCTGCGGCAAATGGGGCTTGCAAAGCTCGCCTTTCCTCTCCCCTTTCCCAGAAGGAGCTGCTCCAGGAAGCATGCCTTCCTCTTCCCAGAAAACTGCCCCCACGGACAATGCCTGCCCTGGCCCGGGGGACTCCCTGAGTGGGTAAGTCTGACTCATTTTGGGGGATCAGTAGTAGGAAGCCCACTTCCTTGCAGATACAAGCCACACTGGCTCACATCAGGTCTATGAGGGAGAAAGGTGATATTTGGCACGTACCTGCTGACACTGTAGTCTTTTTGTCAATTTGTTCAGAACTTGGGAGGAGAAAGATGGTGTTATTTATTGGACTCCCTCAAAATCCCAACACATCCTCACCCCTCACCCCATAATCTGGCTGATTAAGAGGCCCACTATGGGGAAATTCCAGGAAAAGGTCCTATATGTGTCTCTATCAGCATCATATATGAGGCCCACCTTTACATACATTGCCCAAGAAATGGCTGGAAATCCATCCTCACCTCTGGAGACACCCACCCCGCAAGTCACCCTACAAGTAACATATCCAGAAAAGTAAAAATCGCCCTATAGCTGCCTCGTTATCTGCAGAATTATCACAGGCTTTATCACACTTCCCACATAGGCCAAATTAAGTGTTTATAATAGCTACTTCCTGACATACTGGCAGCCATCCTTAGAACAAGAAAAAACTATACATCTAATCAGAAGTGCTATAAACAAGGCTAAGACAAAACACAATCCTCTCCTCCAAAAGCATCAGACTGCATCCACACTACTACTAAAGATCAAGACACGGACTGGTTCGCCTGCTCGGCCCGAAAGCATGGAAGAGGCTTCCCTGAACGTCTGGAGAGGGTGAGTGTACCCAAAACCACACTGGGGTTCTGGATGTTTCCCACACGGCCTCATCAACCATCAGAAACGAGAAGAACTGAAACAGGGCAAACTTACGTGCTCTTTCATCTCATTAGCCACGGTCTGGGACATCATGACGCAGCAGAGGACGGAGACGAGGATGAAGTAGAGTGCGTACATGAAGCGGGTACTCCGGGACTGCCGGATCTTGGGGCAACAGCTACAGCAGAGGGAGCAGCCAGCAGACCCACAGCAGCAGGCCAACTAGAAAAGGAACACAGGACATCGTCTTACAGCCACTGCTTTACAGACCTACCAACCCCAGCCCCCTGCAGGTCAACCTTCCAGGCTACCATTCTTCTGAGCCATCCTGCCCACAGAGCATGCTGGAACAGTTCAGTATGCGAACAAAGCTTTCAGCAGACTGGGTCTAAGACGGTCTTTACCGATAAGCATTAAGGCTTGAGAGATGCCCAATAAAACAGAAGAGGAACAATTCACCTGAAGCACTATAATCATCACTCTTAGGCAAAATAAAGATTTCTGGGATCAGCTAAGAGAGAAGTCAAGAACTAGAAAAAGACCATGCCCTGGCCGGTTTGGCTCAGTGGTTGGAGCATCGGCCTGCGGACCAGAGAGTCCCGGTTCGGTTCCTGCTAGGGGCACATACCAAAAAAAAAAAAAGAAAGAAAGAAAAAGACCAAAGTGAGGAGGTGAGAACATGAAAAACAGGGAATCGGGCCCAAGAAAAGGACTTGTCAAAATCCATGAGCAAAAAGAATGAACTGTATGAACACCTGGGGACGTGTTGGGATGTAAGGGCTCTGTATGTGTGTACCCATCTCCTTTGCAGTAAACAGTGGGAGTGTCCAACATGAAGGAACGAATAGACCTTCTCACCCGCACTGTTGTTTACCACAGCTTCACGCCCTTAATGGTAAGCTTTCAGGCTCATGTGTGGGCGTGGGGCAGAGGAGTAGGAGCTCCTGCTGTGCCAATAATAGGCCTCACACCTTTTATTTGGGGAAACCAGCTCTTTGTTGTTTTTGCACCTCTGATTGGGCTTTATTGGTCAGTGCAGCTAGATATAATTTGGGGATATTAAATAAGTAGGGATTAAGTTCCCAGGTTTGAGTCTGGTGTTAATTTTTTTCTTTTTAAAAACTATTTTTTAGCCAGGCCATGTGGCTCAGTGGTTGAGCGTGGACCCACCCACCAAAAGGTTGCTGGTTCTATTCCCGGTCAAGGCACATGCCCAGGTTGTGGGCCAAATTTGCAGGAGGTGGCCAATCAATGTCCTCTCTCATGGATGTTTCTATCTTTCTCTCACCCTCACACTCTCAAGTCAATTTAAAAAAATATGTATCTCCTCAGGTAAGGATAAAAAATAAGTAAATAACAACAACAGAGAAATGAATAAACAGTGCCCATCATTGGCTCAATAAATGGGTGCTGAATTAATACTGTATCGTAAGGTCATAATGACAACCTTCCTCCAACATAGGGACTGGTAGGCCCAGAGGGCCACGCACAAGTCATGTGCCACACTCTGAATTTCTCACACCAGCTCATGTCACAAAGTATTAGGGCTTTAATTTGTGGATACTGCACACCCACCTTTCCCACAAGAAATTATTCTACGCTCTGGAAGGACACAAGGCTCTCTCTTTGGAGGTAATGCCTGCAATTCCTCTGGCAGTTCATCCTCATGCACACTTACACAGGGGCCCAGAGATTTGGGTATGCAGCTGTGTGTTCACTATAAGCACGGAAACAGTCTTCTTTTCCAGACACACAGGGACCACATAAGTGAATTATGGGCTATCTACACCATACAATGTAGTTACAAAGAGCAAGTCAGTGTTCATTATGGGCTGAACTGAGTTATCTTGCCCACTTTCCCTGCCTCCCCCTGGTTCCCCTCCCCGCCAAATTCACATGTTGAAGTTCGAACCCCCAGTATCTCCCAATATTTGGATAGAGGGTCCTTAATAACGTAATTAAGGGTCATTGGAGGGGGCCCTAATCTAATATGACTGGTCCTTGGAAGACAAGATTAGGACACAGACACACAGAAAGGCCAAGTGAGGACACAGGGAGAACACGGCCATCTACAAGCCAAGGAGAGAGGCCTCAGAAGAGACCACCTCTTCAACTCCTTTATTTCAGACTTTAGCCTCCAGAACTGTGAGACATTAAATTTCTGTTGTTTAAGCCACCCAGCCTACCATACTTTGTTATGTCAGCCCCAGCAAACTAACACAGTGGTTACGCCCTGGTGTTTTATGTATCTTTCTGTGTGGTGTGTGTATCCATGCAATGAGCATCGACATCAATTATCTGTAGAATGGGCCTAGATGCAGGCGGAGGAAGAAGACATCTACTTCTCACTGTTCCGCTCTCTGTTTGTGTTTTTCCTACATGCATGTATTACTCTTATAATTTTAAAAAGAAAGGAAAAGACTAAGAAAAGCAACTAAGTTTCAAGATATTAACATAAAAGCATTTGCAAATGTGGCATTGACTCATGGCATTTATTTTTTCTTTCTGAAGAAATTTCCCCTCCCCAAACATAGTGAAAAAGAGCCCTTGACCCCCTCCCTCTAACTGACTTCCTCTGAAATAGCAACAGCACCAGTAGCAAAGGCTTTTCTAAATACAACGTGCTCTGTCCTGGCCAGGGCAGAGTCAAAATGATAGGATAAGCCAGCTGCTTGTAGCTACCTCAAGCTGGGCCTCACCCTCAAGTGTTATTTTTCTCCTCCTATCTAAGAACCCCAACAACAACAACAACACACACACACACACACACACACACACACACACACACACTAAATAAACATCAGGCTCCCTTCCTGTCCTCCCCACTAGCCATGGACAAAGACAGTTCTAAAAACTGATCCTAGGCATGTGAGGAAATGATCACAGAAACACAAGGTAGGGCTGGTAGTAACTTCCATGTTCTTCTTCTGTCAAATTGAAAAGCATAATCCCTTTATTACCTAGAATTCCCAGCTAGCAACAAAACCAAAGAATCAGGAAGAAAGCCAAATAGATGTCATAATCAGTGTGAGCGTGCACACACACGCACCCTGTTATCTTACTCATGAGAGTCCCCCCCTCTCTATCGAGTCTTATTTTCACAGTGCCAAGAGGCTGGTTGGCTACCAGGTTCTTAAGCCCACAGGGACTAGGAGGAACTAACTGGTGAGAAGAGCAAAGGTCCGAGAACTTGAGGACCTGGATTCTAACTCTCTGGCTCTGGGCAAGTCACCTTCCCTCTCAGGGTCTGGGTTTTCCTCACCTGTAAACTGAAAGAGCATAGGTGACAGATAATAGATGGTAGGTAACGAGGTGTCATCTCATATGCAACTCATGGTGACAGGGGTGTCTGGAACGCTGTGCTGAGCTGGGTTCTAAGGCCGAATATCTCAGCATAGAAAATGCAATGATCAGAAGGTACCACCTGCCAGAGGCATGGTGGCATTCATGCTTTCTTTTTGTCATCCCTGTGAGAGATGATCTGACTTCCCTATCATCCATACATGCTCCCATGTTGAAAAACAAACTGTTAGAGGCAAGCACACTGAGTTAACCCCAAAGCAAGAAAGAAGAGAGAAAAATCCATCAAAAAAAGAGAAGTAAGCCCTGGCCGGTTTGGCTCAGCGGTTAGAGCGTCGGCCTGCGGTTCAGAGAGACCCGGGTTCGGTTCCCACTAAGGGCATGTACCTTGGTTGCAGTTTGTCCCCGGCCTGGTTGGGTTGTGCGGGTGGTAACCACTCGATGTGTCCCTTTCACGTAGATGTTTCTCTCTCTCTCCCTCCCACTCTATCTGAGCAAAATATGGAAAAATGTCCTTGGGTGAGGAAAATAAATAAATAAATAAATAAATAAATAAATAAATAGAAGTAGGAACTGAACACTGGAGCAATCAGAAGCTCTCAAGGTAATGTGAGCATCACTCTAATTGCTTCATGGTCTATGTTCTGCCACGTCCAGCTCATGCAGCAGGGAGGTAACTCATTCATGACGATGGCCCAGGCATCACACAAAGTCATGTTCCCTTGGCTCCACTTATGGAGGCAGCAAAATGCATAGGACCTTTCTGTCACAAGAATCACCCCAAATGTGGGTCACATTTTTTAGTTTCGATGCTTTTGTTTTTGGGTGTGTCAATCCCTCAGCAATGTGGAAACCATTCATTCAGAAAGACATATTCCTCAAGGGTTGTGGAGAGCCAAGCTGGCTTTAGTATGTTTCTGGCTTTTGTGCATTTAAGCTAAGTCAAAACTTCAAAACTGCAAAAGGAAAGAAATCTTCAAGTCTGGCACCGCCCTTCATTCAGTCCCTTTTCCTGACTTGGTAAAATAGGATCACTAGCAGAACAGAAGAAAGACAAAAGAGATTTTCTTAAAAATATTTTTTTAGCCCTGGCCAGTTGCTCAGTGGTTAGAGCGTCGGCCTGCAGACCAATGAGTCACAGGTTCGATTCCCATCAAGGGCATGTACCTTGGTTGTGGTTCGTCCCCTGCCCTGGTCGGGGTCATGCGGGAGGGAACCAGTCGACAGAGGCTCAGAGAGGTTAGGCAACTTAAGGTCAGAAGAAAGTCGATAAGTGGCATAAAATTGGTGAACAGGACAAATAGCTCTGACCTTGGTTTCCTACAGAAGGGAAACTGGCTATGTGGGAAGGAGGAGCAAGGGAGGAAGCAGCTTTTCTCCCCTGTCCTTGGGTGTACAGTAAGCAGTCAACAAAAATGTGGAGAAGGCCCTGGCCGGTTTGGCTCAGCAGTTAGAGCATCGGCCTGCGGTCCGGAGAGACCCGGGTTCGGTTCCCGCTAAGGGCATGTACCTTGGTTGCAGTTTGTCCCCGGCCCTGGTTGGTCGTGCGGGTGGCAGCCACTCGATGTGTCCCTTTCACGTCGATGTTTCTCTCTCTCTCTCTTCCTCTCTCTCCCTCCCACTCTATCTGTGCAAAAAGTGGAAAAATGTCCTCGGGTGAGGATAAAAAAAATGTGGAGAAGGCATCTCCCTTTCTGGGCCCCTTCCTCTCTCCCAGGCAACCTCTGGCCTCAGTGTACCTGGGTGACCTCTATCAGAGCCCTGCCCCAACCTGCTGAACCACCCCCATCACCAAGCTCTCCACCTCACCATCAAGTCCCACCCCACCTTAAAAGCCCTATTCCTAATCCTATGAAAATAACCAGAGCAGCCCTGGCTGGTTTGGCTAAATGGTTAGAGCATTGGCCTGTGGACCAAAGAGT